GGGCTGATATTTGTCTAATAAGTTCTTATGATTAGTGTCAGTATAAGTATTATTGATTGGAATGTTACAGAAGTGATGCTGAGTTCCTTTTGCTTTTTCCTATCAAGAAGTATGTTCTGAAAATTAATCCCTTTACTGGCAAGATTAACTGAGAACTTGGGTTAGGTGGTATCTGCCAAGGTTCTCAAGTACAAAGTCATGTCGATCCTTTGTAATTAATAAGTACCTTGTGGAAAGATACTTTGAAGCCATGCAAATAGTCTCTTATTCTTCAAGCTTTCACCAGAGTATATAGCATCCTATTCATAATCCTTAACTGAGTCAATTATTAATATGGTTAGTTGTCAAATTGTGACTTTCTACGCTTATTAGTTGACTTCTTATTGCATGGACTTCCCTGGTGGCTCAGGTGATAAAGAATCTGCCTGCAGTGCAGATCTGGGTTCAATCCCTGTGTTGGGAAGAATCCCCTGGAGAAGGGAATGGCTTCCCACTCCAGTATTCTTGTCTGGAGAATTCCATAGACAGAGGAGCCTGGTGGGCTATGACTGAGCGACTAACACAACATGGTTGTTTGCTACTGTATAGAAGAGTGTTTGCTACTGTATAGAAGAGTTTTTCCCTACCCATTTATAACTGTATCTTTCCTGGTTCCTTATTTTATTCAATGGGTTATCATCCTTTACTCCCATTATTCACTTTGATGCCAAAAATGTTCCAGACTTGGTCACTGGAAACCACTGGTTCCTATGCTTTCTTCGTAATTATTTTGAGTACTTATGGCCTATATTGGGCATTGGAAGGCAATGAGTATAAAATAAAAGGAAAACAAAGATCAGCTTTTAGGGTGAGAATGTTGCAGTGACATCACTCAGGCATGACTGGGGAAATGCCTTGTTAGTTATCGAAGGAAAGGGAGCAAAGGTCTGTGGGGCACGAGGGAGTGAGTTGTGGGGACATCTGAAGGAAGATTCCAGAGCAGGAGAAAAGCTACTGTTCCTTAAGTGGGGGGAAGAGGGCAAGATGTTGGCATTTTCAGTGGGATTCCTCTGACTGCTGAGTTGAGAAGTGACCGTGATGGAAATACGAAAGCACTGCCAAGGTGCCTTCAATTCCCATAGTATTCATCCTAAGGCACTGGAAATCCCCTTAAAGCACATGTGTTGAGGTAAGGGCAATCTATTGAATATAAGTTTGGAGTAGGAAACGGCAATCCACTTCAGTATCCTTGCCAGGAAAATCCCGTGGACAGAGGAGCCTGGTGGGCTACAGTCCATGGGGTTGCAAAGAATCAGACATGACTGAGCATGCATGCACACATTAAATAAAGCAGCCATCCAAAAGCACAGCTGCTGTAGAAATAAGACTCATAAAAAGGCAGGAGAGATGGGAATTGAGGATTGAGAAGCAGAACCCTCCTGCATGGAGCACATACTAGGTGCTTTTTAGGCTTTACTTCTTTTAACTCCAGAACAATCTTAGAGAGAGAGAGAGAGAGAGAGAGAGAGTGTGTGTGTGTGTGTGTGTATTTTGTCCATATTGTACATCATGCAGGATCTTAAGTTCTCTGACCAGGGATCGAACCCACAACCTTTGCATTGGAAGTGCAGAGTCTTAACCACTGAACTCCCAGGGAAGTCCTCAAGTAGAGGTTATGTGTTATGGGAGGCAAGTGAGGCTCCACAGGGCTTTCCCTTCTTCCACCCTATCTGGTTTTCTTGACACAGAAAAGGTCAGTGGAGGGATGTGGTATCAGAGACAGTGCCGTGAAGCCCACAGAAAGGACACGATCAAGTTCTTTTCTGCTACTTCTGTGTTCTCTGCGGCTCCTCTGCTACTCTCAGTTCTCTCGCTGGTAACTCACCAGGGTTAGCCATGAGGGGCTTTCTGTCTTGCCAGACTTCCAGACAAGAGGCCCCATGCCCTTTACTAGCAGCCTGTCCTGCCAAGTGTATTTATTCAGTGGTTAGGGACATCACAGCTAAAGAGATGGCAAAATTTTCCCCAGAACTCTCAGCTGCACTGCAAGAACAGAAATTTGAATTCACAACCATGCTTCCATACAGTTGATCAATAAAGCCACCTGCTTACACAGACCTGGCTCTTAAATTATGGATCTTTTTATATTAGCATTCATAAACATGTACAGCATATATAGAGAGAAAAGGCGGGGGCTGGTAACAAAATGAAAAAGTTAAATAGCAAACATCTCATACAACCAGACTTTTCATATGCGAGTGTGTGTGAGGCACAGAGAGGCTGTTCATATTATGGTCCAGAAAATCACTGCTGTCATTAGTTCCCACTTATTAGGAGCTCACAGCAACTTTAGAAGAATGTGTTGCCCTTTTTTTAACCCCTAGCAAGAGCATAAATACTTCCTTGGTGTACGTAATACTGGATTGGCCGAAAAGTTCATGGAGTTTCCCATAAACTTATGGAAAAACCCAAACAGACTTTGCTGAACTCAATATGATGTGGGCAAGCTTAAATGCCATCCACACTTGCCTTACAAATCTTTGGTTTTGCCCAGTTATGAGCTTCTTCCCTCAGCCCTGTTGCCCCCAGATGTCCTAGGTCTGTATCCATGACTCTACTTGGATAACATTTTTTCCTGCATCTTCATTTGGGACAGAGGGCCAGCCATCTCCTAGCACCAACAGAGAAACACAGTGCATCTGGCCACAGGGCTCAGAAGCTCCGGAAGTCAGAAATCTGGGGTGACTTTGCCACCATCTCTTTGACTGCCTGCGACCTTATGTTGTTAATACCTGCGCACACAGTTGTGTGAAGTGCTTTAATTAATATTTGTAAATCTCCCTCATTGCCCCAGATAGAAGGTGACAGAAAAGGGCAAATCGTTATTAATCACAGGGGGAAAAAAAACGGAGAGATTAACTTTTGTTCCTTCAGCAGAGACGGACCTACACACACAGACACTATTTTCACAGTAGGAGAATTAGACAGAAGTTTGATTTTCTTTGCGCTTCCGGAAATGTCCAATGTCTGCTTAACGCTAAGTCCCATCCCACGTCCCACCTAGGTGTCTACGTGCACCGCCCCCCCCAACTCCTAATGATGTTTTAAGTTACTACTGAAAGGCGCCTTCTATTCACAAGTGTAAGAGTTCATCTAATGAGCTGCTTTCAGTTCATTTGGCATTAAATAATTCCCCCAATTCCCATGTGTTTGAACAATATGTTCAACAAGGGGGAATGCTTCTCTGAAAGCTATTAAAGTTCTTTTAGGAGCTTGTCCTTGGTCACTCATATGCACACCAGCTATCCCTGTCTGTGAGGATGCAAGCAGCAATTACCCAGAAAATGTTCTAAAGGCCGCTGGCAGGCATCCACGTGCAGACTGCTGCCTCGTGCTGGCTAGAGCCCTCCTCACATTCAATTCAAACCTCAAATAGAGCATTCTAGGCTGTTCACAGAACATTCGTGATTACTAAAACCTGACTTTCCAGACCCACCCACCACCAACACCCCCCACCCCATCTTGGCCTGCCCTACTTAGAGACGTAAATGCATAAAAGGCATATTTTCCATTTTGCCTATGCTTTGCCTGGAAAGGAAGAGCTGATAACGTTGCTTGCCTACGTGGAAGGCTGACTTTGGGGAAGGCAGCTTCTTGGGGAGGGAGGAAGACCCTGTGATCATGTTCAGGTCTGCTTTAGGTACTGGAGATATGAGATGCTCCTCCTTGCTTATCTGCCTTGACTTTTGTTGCAGCAGCAAATTATAGATAATGAGTCACCTTTATAGCTAAAGGGTGACCATGACCAACCAGAGAAGCAAACAAGCAGTGTCAACAAAAGCAATTCAGAAATTAACATGTTAGATGTGCTCGTGGAAAACCTGGTTGTTTATACAAGACCACAGAAAAGGTAGTATCTTTTAGTACTAACTTCATCCAGCTCTTTTGATCAGGGATGACATTCTTAAATGCCCTTCCTCGGTGAGATGAGAGAAAACTTAGGCAATAATATCAATCCTAGCTCTCATGTCTCATTGTTCATCTGAGATTCCTGAATTGTTTTACAGACTATATTCTGAATCAGTATATTTCTTACAAGTGAAAATACTGAGGGAAAAAGAAATCAACTAGCTTTTTCTCAAACACATAGCGGTTGGGGAAAATGGGTAGACTTCTGGGTTCTCATTGATTGCTGTCCTATAACCCACCCCATGTTACTGTTTAAGGGCAGAGATTAAAAACAAAAGCCACAAAAATGGAACAGGAAGGCTTTCAGTCAGGTGGTATTATTTCCTTTTAGTCAAATTTCTTTGATCTGTTTCATGGCTGTGTCTTTTCGTTGTAAATTATTCACAATACAGGAAAATCTAAACACCAGGTAGAATGATTTTAAATTTATAGCTAAAATAGGAAAACGATGAAAGATATATCTTCATGTATTTGATTATGCAGTTTATAACTGTCTACTGTGCTATCACTGTAAAACTTGTGTATTTGCACATTGGCAGAAAATAAATGTTTTCAAAACCAGAAGAGACATTCAGTCCGGATTCATTTGAAATGTTGCTTTGTTTACAAAAGTAATTTGTTTTGCTGACTGGCATTAAACGTATTTGTAGGATGTGTTCTTGGGATTACCAGATTGGTCATTTCTATGACAATTTTGGCTTTGGTCATTGATAATATTATCAATAAGAAAAAGGATTCAGCAGCTGGTGTGTGACATGCCAGCTAGGTCTTTTCTTTCTACTGCTCTGCCCTGTCTTTCTGAAGAAGCATTTGTCATTTTGTTTCTCAAAACCTAGATATGAAATCTAGGCTCACCCTCAGTCTGTATGCTTGAGTGGTTCAAGACAGATGTCTGTAGTCCTGCCCAGGCGCCCCCCAGGAGGAGGTGTTCCTCAGAAGGATGTCCCAGAAAGGGCTTTGCTAATAACCCCTGTAACTAAATTCTCGTTCAGATATGCCCCACCTCCACTCCTTTATACGTTTCTCTCTTTTATTCTTTCCCAACCGTACAGCCTCCAGTCGGATGGATCCGAGGTGCTCCTGAGCCCAGAAGTCACCTGTGGTCCCCCCGACATAATCGTTACCACTCCCTTCGCCCTGACCATCCCACACTGTGCGGATGTCAGCTCTGAGCACTGGAACATCCATTTAAAGAAGAGGACCCAGCAGGGCAACTGGGAGGTGAGACCTGAGAGCCTTCCTTAAAAAAAAAAAAATACAGCTGTAGGGAGTTTGGAATGGACGGTAGATGTCCACAGTGTATACATGTGTACACACCGCTATATGTAAAATGGATACCCAACAAGGACCTACCGTATGGCACAGGGAACTCTGCTCCGTGTTATATGGCAGCCTGGATGGGAGGGGAGTCTGGGGGAGAATGGATACGTGTATGTGCATGGCTGAGTCCCTTCACTGCTCACCTGAAGCTATCACAATATTGTTAATCGGCTCTACTCCACTATAAAATAAAAAGCTTTAAAAAAAAAAAAAACCAGGGCTTAGGTTCCACCTGTGGAATGAAATTAACTTTCCCTTCTCTTCACACAAGCCAGCTATGAAATTGGTGAGCATTTGCTTGTTTTTCAGGGGGTCGGTGGCCAGTATTTACAGCATCCTCGAGGTATTGGCTAGCTGTGTTGTCACGGCTGTCATAATGGGAAAAAGAAGCCAGAGAGGATATGAAGCTTTTTCTTTTGATTTCAGAATACAGTTGTAATCACCCCCACAGGCACGTACCCTTGTGCACCTGCCTTTCGTACGTGAGACCGTGACTTCTGCCTTGGTTCCCAGGCCATTTCCCTGCCCCAGCTGACTTTCCCTGTGGCTTCTGTAGGAATTAGGGAAGAGGCCCAGGGTAAGCCAGCTGTATTCCTAAAAGGAATCACTATCTGGTTTTGCCAAAATTGTAACAAAGTTATATGGAAGTATTCAGGAACAGAGTAGCTGCTAGGTAGATGTGGCTGAATTAATGAAGGCCTTGAAAATCATTCTGTCTTTCCCTGTGTATGTGAATGCATGTAAGAAACAGTACAAGGAGAGAAGGAAGGAGACAAACTCAGAATCCCCAAGAGCAAAGTAAGGATGAGAGCTGGTCACGACAAAGAAAGATTGCAGGGGGCTGGCTATTTTAAGCGAAACCTGATTTATCTGTCTGATGGGGATTCCTTTGATGTCTGTCTGGGGTCAGTTTGCCTGAAAGCAGATGAATTATCTTGTTGGAACACAATGACCTGTTCCAGCTAGCCCTGGGATCTTACCTCCCAGGAGATGCTTCAGGAGACAGAAGTAAAAGGAAACTCATGTTTCTTGAGAAGAAAATTCCCAGTTGCTTCAGTGGGTTACAGTTACCCTGCCCAGCTCTGTCTTGAAACTAGTCCCTCTTCTTTGTTGAAAATGCATTCTGCTATTTATTCAGTTGTGATACAACCACAGGGGAATTTCCAGGGGTGTGAGGTTCCATAGGTTTCATAAAGGGGCCGGATTTGGAGCTCTTTTTCATTACATCTTGCTTTGCCTGGATTTTTACCACATTAGTTTTCCTTCCCAGCACTTCCTCACAGTCATTTACATCCAGATGGTGTTAGATTTACTCTCTATCAAATCGGTCACACATACCTTAGCAGGGAGGGTGAAATACTGATACATCTTATTCAAACCACTTATTGGATGGTCCCTCATGCATGATTTTGATGGAGTGAAAAGAGGATAAAATATTTGAAAGAAAGTAAACATTACCTTAAGGATATTGGAAGAGGTTTTCAGAAATAGACCTTTATAAAAAACATAAAATTTTCTCATTGATGTTAAGGTTCAAGGCTGTTTTTGTTTTTTTTTTTTTAATTTGGCCTTGAACAAATTAACCGAAAATTGTAGAGCTTTGAAAGTGATGTTTGTTATAACCTACTAAATCGAATTCCAACCCTACACTGAATATAGCCGTCCCTTCAGCTCCTGATGTCAGCAGTTATTTTGATAAAAGAAAAACATTTAACACCAAGAAAATGAGTTCAATAAAAATATTCTGGAAAGAAGATGTTATATCCTTGCAAAGTGACTGTTAAATTACATTGTGTTTCCCAAGCTGAGAGAATTCAAGACGTCTTTTCCCGACAGGAAGTGATGTCGGTGGAGGATGAATCCACATCCTGCTACTGCCTTTTGGACCCTTTTGCGTGTCACGTGCTCCTAGACAGCTTTGGGACATATGCCCTCACCGGGGAGCCCATCACAGACTGTGCCGTGAAGCAGCTCAAGGTGGCGGTTTTTGGTTGCATGTCCTGTAACTCTCTGGACTACAACTTGAGGGTCTACTGTGTGGACAACACCCCTTGGGCATTTCAGGTCAGCCTTTTCTCTAGTTCCTCTTGTGGTGTCATGAGAACATGGGGTTTCCTAAAGATCGGTGTCAACAGAGAATCTGATTGCGAAGGGCGGGTCTGGACAATGAACCCACATCACTGGCTCGATGGGGATACCCGTCTCGAAACAAGATCTGTGTTACTGCGTGCCCATTGATGTGCTGAAGGCCCGATGAGGTACTTGGCACTCAAGAAGAGAGGAGGGGTAAACTAACACACAACACTGTGTGCTAAATGAGAAAACTGACTAGAAGGATAGTCGTAATTCAGGAGGGAGAGGCCCAGTTGTGAGAGAGAAGTCTTTGAGGATCCTTTGGAAACCTTCTTGGAGGAATGAGGGCTGAGACCTAAAGAGGAAGGGATACCATGTCCAGAGAGGAGAATGGCGTGAACCACAGGAACAAGAGTTATTTGATGTGCGGTTGAGCAATGAGACAAGTGGTTGGATCACCTGAAGGTCACAGTTCAGGGACAACAATTATAAATCATCCCTCTCAATAGGTAGTCCCATGACATCCTGAACACACAGTCTGTTCATTTTTAAGTTTATTAGGGCAGAGATGGTTCCTTTCCATTTTTGCTCCTTTTAATCACGTATGATCCTTTTTGAATTAACACCTCTCAGAGAGTACAGGTTTATTAATAGCAGCAAAAAGAATGCAGAAGTGCCTGTGTAAGCCCTGCCCATATATAAATAGCATAGCTCTCCTGATGCACCTCATCCCAGGTCCCAGCTATTCCAGTTCTGAATCATTAAGCCCATTATGCTTTTCCTCAGTAACTAGCTTTTAAGACACTGAGCTGGAAATCTCATGTTTACCAATGGAAGAGATAAGATGACTTGAATCCTGAATTTAAACCAGTAAAGGTGACACAGTGGCAGCTTATGTGCCCACATTTTCCCTCTCTTAAGTAGCACAGGCCATTATAAACGGCGCGCTTCAGCATCTGACTGTTCACGAGAACTTTCTCATGAGGGGTGCCATTTTGTCAAGAACATCAGCGTAAGCAGTTAAACCTGACCCTATGAATGCCATTTTAAACTCTTTCTCTGCTTTTGAGACCCTGTAATAAGAGGATTTTTCCAAGATAAAATTACCTAACAGACATTGAATAATCAAAAATCGACTGACATATGATATCACTTATATGTGTAATCTAAAAACATGACACAAATGACCTCATCTATGAAACGGAAACAGACAAGGAGAACAGACTTGAGGCTGCCAGGGGGATGAGAGGGGAGAGATTAGGAGTTTGGGATGAGCTGACGCAAACTAGTACATATAGGATAGATAAACAACAAGGTCTGCCTGTATGACACAGGAAACTGTATTCCATATCCTGTGATAAATCACAGTAGAAAGTGAAAGTCGCTCAGTCGTGTCCGACTCTTTCTGACCCCATGGACTATATAGTCCGTGGAATTCTCCAGGCCAGAGTACCAGAGTGGGTAGCCTTTCCCTTTTCCAGGGGATCTTCCCAACTCTGGGATCAAACCCAGGTCTCCCTCATTGCAGGCGGATTCTTTACCAGCTGAGCCACAAGGGAAGCCCAAGAATACTGGAGTGGGCAGCCTAAAACCACAATAGGGAAGACTATAAAAAAGAATGTATCCATGTATATATCTGAAGAACTATGCATCACAGCAGAAATGAACCTGACATTGTAAATCAGCTACACTTCAAAGAGAAAATTAGCTGAGGTTACTACCACCCCTGAGCAGTTGTAAAGTGCACCATCACACTAGTTGGTTGTTTAGTAACTCAGGCAGATTTTGAAATCTCAGTAAACATGGAGGGCTGGGGTAGATTTCCAATCTCCTGTGTCACATGGGTAACCCACTGCTAACTAGGGTTACCCTGAGGATCTGTTCATGACAACCACGTTGGAATTAAGACCTCATAACTGGTTTGGGATTTTGCTTTGAATAACACTCTCACTGCTGCTAATGCATATACCAGCAAGTTAGACATTTGCCCAAGGAATTTCTAAGTGACTTGCAGATAATGTATTTTCATTCCTACTGATTGCTACCAGATTCTAGAACAGCTCAGCTGTTCACAGATGAATTGCCGTGGGAATCATGAAAATGAAGCTCAAACCACAGCTTTTCAAACCACTATCCATTCCTGTGGGTAGCAGATCCTTTTTAATCAATGCTTGAGAAACTGGCATGCTCCCTCTAATTGAATATAAATATCTTTATTTCATTGAGAGAGACTTCCTAAAATTATTTAATTTTGCTGTTTTGCTGTAGAGAAATGTTTTCCAGTGGAGATACCTCTGGCCCGTTTGCCGAAATCTATTTACTACCAGTGATTCCTTCTCTCTCCTATTATGTCAAATAAACTTGATTTTAGAGTTGAGTTGGGTTGTGCTCGTTATTGACAGGATGTGACAGCTGTCATGAGCAGCAAAGGCCATGCTTTTCCCCTGGGGTTCTGAGAGATCACCAGGCTTGGCTGAATAACGTTTCTGGCCTGAATCTGGAAAGATTAAAACATAACTCGTAGCTTTTCTGAACACAACCATTCACTGCCTGGTCTTAGTCTGAGTTTTGTGCAAGAAAGGAATCTTGCTTTCTGGTTGTTTATCTTGCTAAGAGAACATGTTCACAACCTTCTTCCTGAGTTCATTTAAACTACCTTGGTATCCCAAATCATCTATGTCATATTTTTCATGACTTCATGTGTGGTATTTAGTTAGAGGGAAATATATAATTACAAAGCCATTAAAATAATTCCACTTGAAGAAAGCCATAGCAACAGTCTAAAAGACTTCACACATTATTATTAGCTCCCCCCAACTTTAGTGGTGTGAGCTGAGCATCTTGTATGCAGTGATGAGTCACCTGCTATAACCCTAATAGAACCCTAACTTCTTAGTCAAAATTCACAGGTAGTTTTTTCATAAAGAATTTCTTCAGAAATTGCCTACCCTGGAATTTGCCTCAGTTATCACTGTAATGAACATGTTTGTCATGATTTGGAAAGAGAGGCCAGCGTGGCTGTGACACTTACTATCTTTACTGTAGTGCATCTTTCATAGCTCAAAGAAGTGAAAAAATCTGAGCCCGGCCAGAACTGGGCTTGTAACCAAGAAGGAAACCTCATTAAAGGGCATGGTTGCATTTTCACGTCCCTTGCATCTCCCTGGGAAATTGTTGTTGTCCAGTCACTAAGTCGTGTCCAACTCTTTGCGACCCCATGGACTGCAGCATGCCAGGCTTCCCTGTCCTTCGCCGTCTCCTGGAGTTTGCTCAGACTCGTGTCCACTGAGTTAGTGATGCCATCCATTATGTCCCCCAATTATGTAAATGCTCACCCTCTTACTGGAAATCCTTGGAAGAAGGGCAGCTTCTAGACCCAACTCTCCTGTTCTCATAGAACTAGGTGGGTACCTGGCCAGATAGTGGCCCCACCAAAAAAAAAAAAAATATTCCTTTAGAGGATTTTAATCAAACACACACTCTTCATTTACAGCCAGGCTCTCCTTCTCTTCGGGGCTTCCCCAGAAGCTCAGTGGTAAAGAATCTGCCTGCCAGTGCAAAAGACAGGGGTTCAATCTAGGTTGGGAAGATCCCCTGGAGAAGGAAATGGCAACCACTCCAGTATTCCTGCCTGGGAAATGCCATGGACCAAGGAGCCTAGCTACATACAGCCCATGGGGTCGCAAGGAGTCAGACATGACTTAGCAACTAAGCAACAATAACCATCTTCTCCTCTGCCCCCTGCAAGGCTGCTAAGCTTGCTTCCCATTTGCTCTGAGGATATTTCATCTGTATCCTTGTAGCAATTTCTTTGAATGACAAAAACAAAATACCTCATGTACCTTGGTAAGACATAAATAATTTAGTTCCAGATATTTGAAGACATTTTAAATAAATCTAAAACCATCTCTATAGAAAATTAAATCAGCTCAGATAGGCTTTATTAAAAAATAATAACAATAATAACAAATGCCATCTGCCCGAAGGTGAGAAAGGGACCAATGACTTCCTGCTCCTGTATTTCTGTGATAATTAGAGCTGCAATTTTATGTTTGTGTGTTTGACATTGCTGCTTTTGATGAATTCAAACCAAAGGTTGCAGAATGGTGATTTATTTTCAAAGCTTTATATGCTAAGACCTAAGTTTCTGTTATCGCGTTTGTATTACGTTCTCTCTCTCTCTTTCTCTCCACGTACAAGTTCAAACAAACCTTGACATAGGGAAAGCAAGGAATTAAGCACTTGCCATATCTTAGGGGGAATAAAAAAGAAAAGAAAAAACAACTAATGTTTTTCTCCGTTGCTTCCAGCACTCCTGTGCAGTACCCCTTGGTCCTCATTACTTACTTGGCATTAATGTGGATTTAGAATCTAATTTCAAAGGATTTCCTCCAGATATAGTTCTTGTGTTTATCAATAATGCAACCTTGGGAAATATTATTCACGTACAGTATTTAAAGGAAAACACCACAGCGACATAAGCACACACATACACATATGGAAATTAAGTTCAAACAGTTTTGTCTCATAAATATGTAAATTCAGCCTCCCTGTTTTAGTATCCCTGAAGCTCACCTGAATATTGCTGCCTGTCTCATTAAATCAACACAAACGGCTCAGTGAGACCCACAGCACAAGTTTCTCCTGGCCACAGCTCCCAGCCCTGGATGACTAGCAACCCCCAATGTGAAATGATGGACTAGAGGAAGCGGAGAAACCGCCAGCCACAGCCTTTAGCTACATTTTATATACAAGCAACCAGCCAGACCCTACTTTCTAAGTTAATTAACACAGGTCTCAATTTAACAGTAGCCCCCCAGAGATGTAACAAAAACTCTTCCTCATATAGGAGGCAGATAGGAAAGAATCAGATGGATATCAGACTCCATTCGTGGGGTGATTCTGCCGTGTGAATGACTCAGATGTAGCTCAGTACAGCTGTTAGTACCACTGATTCCCAAACCTGGCTGGATATGGGCGTCGTCTGAGAAGTATTTAAAAATACAGATGTCTAGGCCCAGCCGCCAAGTAAAACACAATATAGGTTAAAGGGGTATAATGCGAATTCTCAGTTAAGTACGATTTCTCCTATTTGGAGAGGGTTTTAAAGCTTGTGCTTTGAAGCCAGTGTGCCTTTACAGATACATCAACACAGTGATTAGTTCATTATTGGGCTTCTTTGTTTTAATAATTGTTTTGTTACACAATAGCTTATAATTGCTTAATATTTTATACAAGACTACAAGACGCTTAATTATATGTAGTTGGTTCGTACTAAGGGGTTCAATATGTGGAGATTAAAGTAAGCAAGCTAAAAAACAAAAGCAAACATAAATCATGGTTGTATTTAAATAGGGGCCCTAAAGCAGAAACCTTTAAGGGGTATCATTTTCCTCAGTGATAATTATAAATGGATATCCATTTTAAGGGGGGATCGGGATGGGGAATACATGTAAATCCATGGCTGATTCATGTCAATGTATAACAAAACCCACTACAATATTGTAAAGTAATTAGCCTCCAACTAATAAAAATAAATGGAAAAAATAAAAAAATAAAAATAAATGGGTTCCCAGGTGGCCCTAGGGGTAGAGAATCCACCTGCCAATGAAGGAGATGCAAGAGATGAAAGTTCGATCCCTGGGGTTTGGGAAGATCCCCTGGGGAAGGAAATGGCACCCCACTCAAGTATTCTTGCCTGGAGAATTCCATGCACAGAGAAGCCAGGTGGGCTACAGTCCATGGGGCCAGAAACAGTCAGGCATGGCTGAGCAACTAAGCCCATCCATTTAAAAAATTGTTAATATCCTCCATTCTGCATCTCAGGAATGGCTTAGATAGTATAAATAACCCCAGGGCAAAAACAGACTGACTTAGGTCATCTTTACATGTGTCTCACACCAATGAAAAATTACTTATGGGACAGTGTTAATAGCCATCTGACCTTCATATAACTCTTAAAAAATCAAGTATAGTATAGGAAAATGCAGGGAAATCTAACAGAAAAAAAATACTAGACCATATAACCAACAAGGATCTACTATATAACACAGAGAACTCTGCTCAGAGTTGAATGGCAGCCTGGATGGGAGAGGAGTTTGGGGGAGAATGGATATGTGTATGGCTGAGTCCCTTTGCTAGCCACTATCACAACATTGTTAATTGACTATATTCCAATATAAAATAAAAATGTAAAATACTAGACCATGAGCAAGTATTGTATATAGTGGTTCTGTCACTGGCCCATATGACTAGAGGCAGATCACTTTCATGAGGGTGCATGTCCATGTTTCCCTCTGTAAATCATGAAGTTTTAAATCACTAAGCACCTTAAATTCCCTTCAAGTGGGATAATGCTATGTTGTTTTAAATATTATATTTGAATATTAAAGTAACCTAGCTGTACACCAAGTAATGCATGACCTTGAGCAAGCCTCTTCATCTCCTGACCTTGGTTTATTTCTCTGTACTTTCAGGCATTAAAGAACAGGGTACAGCTCAGAGAGCCTAGTGAAATAGATCAGTACTTTGACAAGTCAACACTGTTGTTACTTCATGACTTTAATATGATTTGAATAAGCAAATTTCATCTTTGCCCCCGATTCTAATCTTGCACTAGAATGGCAAAAAGAAGTTCATCTGTTACCATGCTAATGATTTTGTTTGGCTATAAATAAGCCCAAATGAAAAACTGAAACTTAAGGATAAGTGACTTGCTGAAGGCTACACAAAATGTGATTAGACATCTGTGCCTTCCATCTTTGGTTTACAAGATGAATGCTGTCTTCAGTATATGTACCCCCCAGAAGATTCCCATGCTCCCTTAAACCCAATGACATTAAACAAAAATATAAGTCCTTAGCGTGGTAAGGGAGAATTCATGACTTGGCTCCTACCTTCTATTTTCCATCATCTCCAGCCATACACTGTCCACCGTAACCTTCTATCCCAGCGTACCTTTGTGGAGAGTCCACTCAGTGTCTGGAATACGCTCTCCCTCCCTTTCCCATGAGTAGCCCCTATATTCACTTCTAGGTTCAGTTCAAATGTCACTTCCTCTATTAATTTCCCGATTCATTCCCTGGCCCCTCTGCCCATCTAGGTTAGGCACCTTCTCTCTTGCCTTAACCTTTGGGAATATACATGTTGTAATACTCAGATACTATATTATACTCATATGCTCACTGTTCTAACGCTCTCTCTAGACTATGAGCTCCTTGGTGTTTCACTTCTGTCCACCCAGTGCCCAGCTCAGGCATCACTCTCCTGGACATTCATTAAATCTCCAAAGGGGACAGAGACCAGCATCTGTAAAGACCTAAAGTCAGCATCTGGCATTAACTCTGTTTCCTCCCACCCTGCCTCTTTCCCTCCACTGTTTGCAGCCCTCATTAGACACTGGCCACCCTGTTATTATGTCCGACGCTTAGACCCACAACATAATGAATGACCTAGTACTGCCCGGTCCAGGGTAGTAATTGCCAACCACATGTGCATATCTACATTTAAATTAATTAAAATCAAACATTTAGTTCCTTAGTCACTCTACCCACTCTGGCTAGTGGATACCATATTTGAACACACAGATGTGAACCTTTTCCGTCACTGCAGAAAGTTCAGTGCTGGCTTCGGGCCCCAAGACACACCCCTCCCACCCCAGAAGAGCTGGTGAAGATGACACTGGAATGGACCGATTTAGTCCTGAGAAAAGACACTGGCAACCTATTAATAATTTATATGTACATGAAGGATTAAAGCTGGGAAGCTGCTTCTTAGAAACATTTTTATTAATGTTAAATCTATACACAGAAAGAGATGGGAAAGATAACTTCTGAAGCTGTTTTCACTCGCTGATAATTGAAATGTAAGTTTTATTGTATTTATAAGCCTAGCTGCCTTGCTTCTTACAATCCTTTTTAGACTCTGGGAAGATTATAGGCCATAATTAAAGGATTTCAGTTTTCCTATTTAGCCTAGCTCTAAGGAAATTTTAAGTCAATTAATGGTGATTTTTAAAATGAGGATTTAGGAAAATCTCTTATCTCCAGGAACGCTGAGAACCTCACATCCCCCGCCCCACAGTAGTTTAACATTTTGTACAGTTCTTATCTGTTCTGTTATTTCACTTGTCTTATCGATAGGATTCTGAACACCACAAATTTGGAACCAATTAAATGGTTTCCTTAGAATGTATGTGAATTGTATTTATATGAGATATAATTATAAATATTTCTCAGTAAAAGATAAAGGAATACTTATCTCAGCAATTTGATTTTTTTTTTCTGAGATGAAGCTGACTTGACTACTTATTTTTTCTTGGCCTTTTGACATAACTTCCATGAATGTTACTACAAATAAACATGATACATGCACTCTGCATTTATTTTGAGCTAAAGGATACATACTGGTTGATGCCTGTGTTGTTGGTTACAAACAAGGGAACCATAGTGGAGAGGGGCTGTGTTTCCCTTTCTCCTGAAATAGCATGCTGGGTCAGGTTAAATATAAATATATCCCTTGATTATGATGATAGCAGGATGAAATTCACACAATGGTGGAAACTCAACAGTATTACAGTTTGCATGGGGCAAAGGAGGTCTTCTAGTTTTAAAGACAGTATATATAAAAGCCTTGACAATACAATAATGAAGAGCAATTATTTCTTTGTGACCAGATACTTGCTTCTCAGCAGCCTGTAACCCTTAGGCCTGACCTTGCAAGGACAGAAGGGTATAAAAGTAGTGCGTGTCCATCATACTGTTGCCCATTTCTGGGAGACACCTGGAAGGGAGCATACCTGTCTATGGGAGGAAAATGTGGAGGAAATTGTGTGCTTTATTGTTGTGCCTCTTTTCTTTTTCTTGTCCTATAGGAAGTGGTTTCAGATGAAAGGCATCAAGGTGGACAACTCCTGGAAGAACCAAAGTTGCTGCATTTCAAAGGGAATACTTTCAGTCTTCAGATCTCTGTCCTTGATATCCCCCCATTCCTCTGGAGAATTAAACCATTCACTGCCTGCCAGGTACTGGCCAAGTGGGTTTCCAATAGAAATAGCTTTGCTTTAACCAGCAGGCATATCACACACCCTAGAGTAAGGGTGCTCCTGACTTTCCTCCTCCTTTAAAACTATGGATTTCGTTTCAAAACTGTCACAGATGTGTAACTGTTTGGACTACACCCAGGGAAACCTATTGTCATAAATCTATGGATTCCTAATAGGTGGGGGGGGAAGGTGCTTGCATATCAGTAATATGACATTTATCCTCTCTCCTGTTTAAATCGCCACTCAGGATAGGTTGGAGACGGTCATTTAACAACTTAGAGCAATATTTCTTTGTGGGTTTGTTTTAATTCATACCAGTTCATTATGAGACACTGTTTTAATCCTGTTCACCTATAGAATGAACTGGCTATTAGGGAGAAACCTTTTAAGGGTGATCATTTTGAGTTGTAGAGAGCTCTGGCCAGCCAGGTGGGATCAAGAGATTTTGTCCTAAATAGATGAAATGCTTGCTGCCAAATGAATTGAGCAAGATGGGAAGAAGAAATCACAAATTGAGAAACAAATAAATATTAATGCCTCTTAGAATATTTTTATGTAAAAATATTTATGTGTCATCACTCACATACCTCATTGTTAGAGACTTAAAAAAATTTCAGGATGACTTAAGAGTCTCTTTGGATCATGTTAAGGAATTTTTGATTAGTTACTTAGCATGAAAAGATATCAACTCGTGACCTTGTCACTGAATTCTATGAAAATTTTCAGTGATAAGCAGTCATCAGAAGCAGACAACTGGTCAACCATTGTTTCTTAAGCCAGAGTCATCTGGATTTCAAGAGACAGGACATTTCCTTAACTCTGGAGCTTCTGAGAGACTGATACTGATCTGGACTCACAGGAGGCTTTCACAGTTCTCTGTTCTGCCCCTCAGTATAACCTACAGAGCCCTGTGGGTTTTTTTAACCTTTCTATCTTTACAACATTCATTTTTTTTTTAAAAAAACATGCACAAGATATACCAGCTTGTCCGAATGGAAATAAGTCAAATCTCAAAGAGAAAAACCTTGACCATGCCATGGGAGTTAGAAGAAAGTTGCACCATCACTGCTTTCTACTTCCAACATTCAGAATTTTCTAATCAAATAAGGCCATATTTTTCTGTTTACTTTTCAGAACTGTCATTACCTCAGGAGCTGCCCACTCTGTGTACAGTTTTAGTGCATTCAAACAAGTACCTCTCTCAGGGCCCTGAAAAGTTTTTTTGGATATTTAACATATTTTCTTATGGAGAGAGGTTTTCTATGAATATATGTATTATTTATGATGTTCTAGACCTGGATGTCTGTTTCCCAGAAAGCAGTATTCAAAATTTGCAGTCCAAATTGAACTTCAGGGTATTGTTAAAACAACTCCTGATAGTCATGCAAATTCCTCTGTTTTAATCTTTATTTAAGAGCATTGCTTCCCTGGATCTAATGCAAGTGACTCAGTCCAAAGTAACGATGAAGTTTAATGCTTGCAGATAAAAAAAAAATCAGATAAAGCATCATAACCTCCCAGGAACACTTAAACGACAATTCCAACACCAGGGATTCCAGTGAGAGCCTCAGGTAGACTTGGAGGAGGCTAATGCCTGCTCACCCCGGAGGACTCAACAGGGCCAGCCAAAGCCAAAGGGTGCTTGGCTGGCAAGGAAACCCAACAAACTTCACTGTCAGGATGGGTTGGATTGCATAGAGGTTGTGAACATGTATAAATATTTGACTTCTGTAATTGAGCATAATTTGAAAGAGTCTTGGAAGGCTGAAAAACAATTTAATTTTCTCTGCATCAGGTGGCTTGCCACTGAGGTTTCATTTCTACTTCATTTTTCTTTTTCACAAATGGCTTTCTGCTCTATTCTTCCTTTCTTTTCACCACCCTACCACCAATTTCTTTACTCCTGTGATCACTGAACTCCCCTAGTATGTGTGACTACATATTGTGCTTGTCATAATGGCCAGGTTGTGTCTGCTCCAGGCATCAGATGCATACACTTTGGGGAGGCTTTGGGTTCAGCCTGCTTGAACCTCATGGAGAGCATCGTATGTGCCGACAAACTGGGTGTGGATAGTAGAGAAAGGCTTTTGATTTGGCTTAGTGGACAAGAACTCACAGAGCTCTACTGCAGAGACAGAAGACCCCACTACTGCTGATGTCACTTACAGGTCTCTCCTTCCCCTGGTAAATGTCCCCATCATCTTCCAGGTCAGTGAAATGAAGGGTTAGAGTTATTGGTATTCCCAGTATCCCTGTCTTCTTATTCCTCTCTCCCTTTCTTTAACTTCAAAGCAGCAATCTAGGAATTGACGTTTTCCAATTGGTACCCAAAGCTGACTCTCTAAGAAACCTTCCTTTTTTCTTTCCAATCTGGGCAAGGTGGAATTTCCCAGGAAGGGTGGTATCCAGTGCATAAAACATTAATAGCTGCCCTATGAGACACCAACTAAGAAAGATTCTTAGAATAATGTGAGGTCCGGGTTGAGTTTAGAGCTATGTGATGAGAGCCTAGCTATAGGAGGATCAACTAGATTTTAAATCTTGCTGGTTTCAATTCTGGAGGATGACAGTCTATGAAATGCTAGGGTACAAACCTTATTGCTTATGAAACAAGGTAGGATGGGTGAAAGGTAGGGGCAGGTGAGGTTACAGGAGTTCTTAAGAGACCTGGTCACCATAGCACCCACTAACCTTGATTCAAAGAAAGCAAGGGCCCCACAATGCTAGTCCTTCCAAAATAAACAATTATTCATAAGACTCTACCACAACAAGTGATATGCTGTTGTCCCCTTAGAAGACTCAACAACCCTTCTCTGCATGGAAGTAACTCTGCTCTCAGTAGGTTACTGGGGCCTGAGAGCTACTGAATCATCATATCCCCTCTTCTTTGCTGACTGTGGGGGTAGAGAAGCTGTAAAAATATTATAAAGCTGAATCTAATAAAATATTAATTTATTTTTTAAATTCTACAGAACACCAAGCCAGGCTGTCACCTCCGTAGGATGAAAGCAGCTGTCTTACAGCATGCTGTGTATCTTGGAGAACCCAGTGTCTGTCTCCTGCTAGGATGTGATTTACATTCTCTCCATCTGCTAGGAGACTAATTATAATGGGACTCAAAAAGAAAACATTTCCGGAATTCTTTAAACACCCATAACTTTGCTACACTTTGTCCTCTAGTATTACTTTCCCCAGAATTCCTCTCAGCTCAATGAGCATCTTGGTGTTTTGTTGTGTATTTTTTTTTGGGGGGGGGGCGGGCAGGGGAGGAGAATAAATGAAAGCAAAGATGATTGCCCTGGAAACACACTAATCGCAGTGCTTTTATTATTTTTAAATGTTTTGTTGAGCACCGTTGGCAGCTGCTACTCAAGTCAACAACAACAAAACTATTCTTTTGACATAGTCTAAAATCAGATTTTTTAAATGTTTTGATGGTGTGCAGTGCAGTGGAAAGAAAAGCAAGAGGTATTTTTGTTTGTTTGCCAATTCTCGTGTCTTTCTGCAAGAAAAGATTATGTCTGCACTGGGATCTTCCAGTGTTCTCAGGAGGAAATACACAAAATTTAGCAAGTGACACAACTTTTCAACACATCTTCAGTGCCATCCATTTTTTTTCTTTTTTTTAACAAAGGTAGTATTACCAAAGATTCAAAGCCACTGCAGGTTTGTTGAAGAGCTAGACCTTGAATTCAGCTCTATCTTGTTCTGAAGTCCAAACATTTATATTACACTATAATGACTCAAAATTTCAGTTTTAGAAAACAAAGACCTCTTTAGTTAGCATAGTTAGGCAGAAACACCTTATTTAGGCGAAAGCATCAAAGAACCATGGAGCCCTCTGTTATACTTATTTTCACTGAATGGGGATGATACGGAGTGAGTATAAAAATGTAACATATATTCACTACCATGCATTAAATAGATAGCGAGTGGGAAGCTGCAACTGTACTCCAATAAATTTAAAAAATGCACTGGTCTGGAGAAGAGTGCATTTCAGGGCTAGAAGATTGAGGCTGGACAGAGGGAGGATGGGGTGAGAGGACAGAAGCCCTTGAAGGCCTGGCAGGGGGCTGTGTTGACGACGGCAGGCATCCTGGGGCCATTCTGGTCCCCCAGGCAAAGGGGTCATGTAATGAAAGCAGAGCTTCCAGTTGATGTGGTGACACCAGTGATCCCACTCGTGATTACAGGCTCTTCCCTGAAAAATACCAGTCCACTGCTTTCTGCTTCTTCCCCAGTCAAGCCCCAGTCCTCTCATTAATTCTGTGTCATAGAGACAAGAGACGGGAGGCTTGGTGAGCGGGCTACTCCAGTTAGCTATGATGAGACCAGAGAAGAGGCTCACACATGGAGACAGAAAAATTGGGGAATGACAGCAAGAGAGATGGTGATAATCCATTCATAAAAGGTAGACTTGGGACTGCCCTGGTGGTCCAGTGGTCAAGACTCCACACTCCCAAGGCAGGGGCATGGGTTCGGTTCCTGGCCAGGGAAGAGTCCACATGCTGCATGGTGTCCCCTCCCCAGCCTCCCCCCCCAAAAAATGGTAGACTCGTTTGAGAAAGGAAAGGCCAACTAAAAGTTATATTGATTGGGGTATAATGTCAACGGTGGCTGATAATGAAATAAAAGCCAGGACTTCAGCTGCTAGAGTCCTCCAGAGACATGGCAATTGGGCGTATGTGAGCAGATGAGGATGTGAAGAGCTCAGTTGGTGGAGAGAGCAGAGCTGAAGGCTAAGATAGGAAGTCAGAGTTACCCTGGTTTACTGAACCAGGACACAGCGTGAGTCAGATTAGACAGCAAGGAGAAACGGCAGACCGTGTCTAGTATAGAAGTATCTGGGATAGAACTTGGTGCAGGTGGACAGTCGTTTTTTGAGTGTTTTAGGGAGTGACTTCCTCTCAAGTTTGATGGCAGGCCCACCAATCAGGCTTCCCTGGTGGCTCAGAGGGTAAAGGGTCTGCCTGCAATGCGGGAGACCCGGGTTCGATCCCTGGGTTGGGAAGATCCCCTGGAGAAGCAAATGGCAACCCACTCCAGTACTCTTGCCTGGAAAATCCCGTGGACGGAGAAGCCTGGTGGGCTCCAGTCCATGGGGTCACAAAGAGTCGGACACGACTAAGCAACTTCACTTTCACCACCAATCAGCAGTGCCCTCCACTGCTAGGAGGGAAAGAGAAGAGCTCATAAGTAAGTCTCTGTTTAGGAAGAAAGTGGGAAAGAGGTACCATTCACTGGTCCGGTGCTGCTGTCTTGCTGGTATATGAGCAAGCTACGCCCCAGCCATGGGTTTCCTTGGTGACCATTAGCGTCATGCTTCTCCCAACATTCGCCCTGGACAGCAGCCTTTCTGTGGGAACCCACTAGTGAACCCAGTGAACCCAGCATACCCAGCTCATCTTAGTTTCTCAAAAGACTACTTCCAACCCACTGGCGTTTCATTAGAGAATTGTTTGGGTCAAGAAAAAAATATTTTAATCAAGGGATTGATGTGCTTATAAAACCTTTGGAAAACCGGGGAGAGCCAAGGTCAGAGAAAGCCCCCAGAGGTATGAGGAAATTAGCAAGTTCCGTGATTTTGGGAAACCACCACAGCCCTGAAGCAGACGGTTCTCAGAAGCCCGTGCACACCTCACATGCAATCTGCTGAACCCTTGAGGTTTGCTTGCTGGTACCAGAGGAACAGAAACCATTTCTGCTCCTTCCCTTCCTTTCAAGTTTAAAACAAGTACTTCTCATTGGCAGAATGGAAATGTGAACGCCATGCTGGTGAGGGCCATGAAATGTAGTTTTCAGGCTTCTAGTTCTTTCTATGTAGGGGAACACTGAGGATGGGAGAGAATTGCCATCTTCCTAATAGCCCACATTCTGCACAGAGGTAAAGTCAGCGAATGGCTGCAGTGTCAACATATAGACCTTCTCTGAGTCCTTAGTCCATTGCCTTTCCCTTGGTTCAAGTTTAAGAACAATCAATCAAACAACACCCCTGCATCCCTTGCTGGGATGTGTGGTAGGGGTTAACGTCTGATTTCTTTCCCTTGTGTTTCCCAAAACTGGCTCTCCTGTACTCAAGTCTTCAACAATCTAAACTTCATCTCTGCCTGCTGATCCCCCGCAGCCAGTACCCAGAAATCAGGATCTTTGAGACTTCCTGCAGAGAAAAATGAGGAAACCTGCAAGTGTATAGCTTGAAACTCAGGGATAACCAGGGAACTCTTGGTTCCTTAAAGTGGGTAAATTGAATTCTAAACATGTCTCGTAGTCTTGTAATACCTGCTGACACCATCACCAGTCACATTTCAGAGAATCAAAGTTCCAGACTTGATCCATCTTTTGCCACCTTTCAGCGTCAATATTGGAGAAAATTGTGTGTGTAGCAACAGGTAAAGAGCAAATGAATGAGTCAAGGAAAAGAGCAAGAAGTGAGATGCAGATTACTCTAGGCTGGGAATATGAGGTCATTGCCAAGAACCAGAGCCTGATTCCAGTAAGAGGGAAAGACTTTCTGGTAGATGGAAGAATATCGGTGACTGACTGACCTCCACTTCATAAATATAAACCCACATGCCCGAGACAATTGGTGGTCAGCCCTGGCTGGTCATGGGGAAAAGGAGAATGTAGGTTTTATAACTGCCCCCCCCCCCACCACCACCAACCTCATTTAGTGAAATGGCTTTTGCCACTCGATTGTAAGTCCCTTTAAAGTGGAGACCAGACCTAAATTCTTACTATTCCTTTACTGTTTATCTAGTACAGTGTCTGGTTATTAGAAGGCATTGTACATATAAGCGTAGAGTGGATGAATTGAGTGAATGAGGAATTGACAAACTAGATTGTTCTGGGCTAACCTGTTGTGTTTGGTCTCTCTCTGGGGTGTGTGTGTATGTGTGTGATCCTGCAGTAGGTATAATTTTTATGCTGGATACATAGCAATGTTATGGTTATACAGTTCAGTATGAGGCTGTGGTATGGACATAAGTTCTGGCCAGTCACTTCTTCATAATTTTCATGTGCATGAGATGATAACATCCTACCCTGGGCTTAGGTAGCAAAGAGCAGGTGTCTACTAGGAATCCTCCCATAGGAGTCTTCTAAAGAATCTTTTTGTTGTGGAAAAACATGGTGATTAACTTTTGATGGTCTTTGTCCTTGTGTGTGTCACCAAGTGAAATCTGAGTTCTTGCAGCATGGTTTTGGAATTCGAATGTTATCAATTGGAATTGACATTAATTACTTTTGTGCTGCCTGGCATATGCTAGGACATTATTTCTGCAACAGTTCCACCAGAGTCGCTCAGACAATTATCTCTGCTGCCATCACCGTCATCATGGTCACCCTAATTACTGTGATTAGGTCTGTCCTGCGCTCTGCTCATCTCAGCCGGGCTCAACACACCCCAGCCCTCTCCTCTCCCCCCTGTCTCCCCCGCAGGAAGTCCCATTCTCGCGCGTGTGGTGCAGTAACCGGCAGCCCCTGCATTGTGCCTTCTCCCTGGAGCGCTACACGCCCACCACCACCCAGCTGTCCTGCAAAATCTGCATCCGGCAGCTCAAAGGCCATGAACAGATCCTCCAAGTGCAGACGTCAATCCTCGAGGTGAGTCCTTGGTCTCCAGGTCACTTGACCTCGTTTCTAAAGCCCATTAAGAGTTATATACCTATCTTAGCTGTGCTATATGTATAGCATGAAAGAGATTCAAAACACACTCACTCTTTTAACCCTCATTACTGATAACAGCAAAATCAACTTTTTTGCATGCTGAAGATTTGAACTGGACCTGGAAACGTAACCAATCAGAGCGTAGGCTCTGCGGAGGGACCTTTGGGGAAGGAACTGGTCCAGGGCGTTTTATACACAAAACCACAACCAATCGAACAGTTCATGGTAGACCTGGAATCAGCTGAAATTCATTGTTGAATTGAGACACATACCATAAAAAAACACAAGGTCACCACCGGGCTGCTTTTCTGCCATTTCTGACGAGTTTCCAGAAGTCAGTTTCCCCCTGTGTGTTATTTCATCTTCAAGGCTTTGTTTCCTTCCTGTCTTACAATTTTTTGATACCCTCCAGGAGCAGGGTTCTACACATCCCCATCTCCATGAAGCCCAGATTTCATCAGTGCAATAAGAGACAGGATGGATAATAATCTCACTCTCCAAAGTAAGGGCATAGTGCAAAAAGGGATAAGACCTTGTCCAAGGTCACATGACCACTCAAGGGCAGAGTTAGAATGGGAGTCAGAGGAGGCGCCCAGGGACGTGCGGGCCGCCACGGCTTTGGCTGGCCCTAGTGACTGAACGGCCCCGTGGCTCTGAGCTTCAGCTTATTGAGTAGACTATGGCCTTTCCCACTGAATGGTTACTTCAGCAGGGGAGAGTAGCTGAGGGGCGGAATCACAGGAGCTGGTGACACCTTATTTAGCAATTTCAAGGCAATCCCTGGCTAGTTTAGAAACACACACACTGTTTTGTTCATCTTAGAACATGTACATGTATATATACATATGAGCTTCCCTGGTGGCTGTGTTGAAGAGTCCACCTGCCAATGCAGGAGATGCAGGCTCGATCCCTGGGGTCAGAAAGATCCCCTGGAGAAAGGAAATGGCAACCCGCTCCAGTATTCTTGCCTGGGAAACCCCATGGACAGAGGAGCCTGGTGAGCTACTGTCCAGGGGATTGCAGTGACTAAACATCAACATATATACATACATACACTTATACCTTTGTGTTTGCATATATAAATAAGACATATTCATTCGTTCACACTTAGCAGAAGGTTTAACACCTTTTGTATCCATACCACTCAATTTCAGGCTTGATTTTTCTCAAAACATGTAGTCTGCATAGCATCACCACTTCTCTCCATTCTCGCTGCACTTCATTGTTTATGCAAAATGAGCGTTGCTAATTCCCCCAAATAGTTTTCTCTGAAGTGCGGATGGCTTTCCAAAGGAGTGTGCCTCAAAATTGATAGCTGTCTTAACTGACATGTTTCTACCATATTTGCATTCATTATTGCCAATTAGCATTATGCACTAAGGTAGTCCTGATCGGAAAGGTAGATGCAGAAACCTCAGGCAGAAAAAAAAAAGAAACCTCAGGCAAGATATATTTAGAGTCTCTTTTTTGAACAGTCATGGCATTTTTAACACAATACCTTTCAAAGTAAAATACAAATCGTATGGGAGTTAGTTCTAAAGTAAAAAGCAAATCTGAGAAGAGCTGCATCTCAGAATGAAAGGTGAAAAGGCAGGACATAAAGGTGCCACTGATGAAAATTTCCATAAATATCTGTTAACAGGTCAGCAAAAGAATTCCAGGTTTAAAAGGTTTTTTACTTTCTAAGGCACCCAGATACTGAAAATCAGTTTCAGCTATTATAAGATGTTTGTGTAAAAGGATAATAAGGTTGATACTACATCCTGGTACCTTTGCATCTTGCTTAAGTAAACTCTAGAAGTTCATGGAGAGAAAATGAGCTAATAAACCTAATCTTCTTGACTCTCCAGTTCTGATGTTCACAAAGTTTACCGTCACTTTGGAAAGACTTAAAGAACATGACATCACCATCTTTCTTGGTAAAAGGAGGCAAAAGTATAAGAATAATATTTAGATATTCAGTGTTGGACTACAGCTATATGATTTGTAGGCTGCTGCACTTTAGAAGTTTTATTAACTTGTTTGATCCTATAAGGATCATTTCATTAATAGCTTTAAGTGTCCCTGCTGAATTTTGGCCCAGTTCATCCCCATTTCTTTCTACCAAACTATTTCTTAGGCAGATCGCACTGACCATCATTTTCAATGTCAGAAGAAAATTAATTTTTAAAACCCACTATATGTCAGGTCCTATTTCATATGCTTTCATGTATAATCATCAGAATTCTGTAGGTTAGTATTATACTATCACAATTTAAAACAATCTCAAGGAAGTCAGCCTTCTTATCCAAGATCATAGAGCGAACTGGATGAGTAGCCAGAGTTCCCAGCTGAGACACTTGACTTTAAGATCAAAGTCTGGCTTTCTATTCAATACTACATCTGGATCCCAATCAAGGGGGTTTCATTTCTTAGTCCTAACCATGGGCCGTGTCCAGAATACAAGCCCCCTCTTTAAGGGCTTAGGCAGTAGTAACAAACATCAAAACATCAGCATTTTTCCCTAAGTCTGAAAGTAGATGGAAATTAGAAAATTCTTTCCTCGAGACTGAAGAAGAATGAAATGCACCTGTTTGTTTGTTGGGCTGGAATGAAGTATTCATCCTGCTGATCTTCAGGAACAAAATTGATTCCCTACATAGAGGTCTGTTTGCAAAAGGATGTCTTGACTGAATGATCACTCAAGGTCCTTCCAACCCTGGGACTGTCTCAATGCTGGGAAAACACACATCTGGTGGTATATCTGGGATTAAAAAACATCCTCTTCTCCCTAAAAATGACTTGGTTTTTATGGTAGATGTTTCAAAGAAAACAAAGATAAAGTTCTGAGAAAGCTGGGAATACTTGGAGAGAGGCAGGATATATTCAAGACATGGGTCTATATGAGGCAACAATAATAGATAAATTATTAAAATGCATCATATTTCATGGTCACTATGCTAATGCAGAAAGATTCTGTGTTAGGTGGTTTTAATAAGTTAGTAATAGGCTATCACTGATTATTATTAATAATAGAACTAAAACTTTGAAGCTTCTAACAGATATCTTTGAAATATGTACTTAAATATCCACTCCCCCCCAAAAAATTCCCACATATCTAGGCTCAGAGCTCCTCCTTCCTACCCTAATTTACAATGGAACCTTGAGAGATAAAAGATACATATATGTGTGTGTGTATGTATATATAAACATTGATTTTAAATTAATTAATGCAGTGAGCATCTTCATTGAAGGCATTTGGTTCTTTCTGCTCAGCCCCACATCCATCATGTCACTTCATGCCTCTTATCTAAATGGCTTTCCAAATATAATCATTCATATCACTCAAATTTAAAAAGTATTTCAGTGATTAAGGTAATATATCTTTTTTGTTCTTTAGAGTGGCCATTATTATGTCAGTCTTTAGAAGCAGGTTGGTTCTCCTTAAATTAACCCAACTAAATTACCTAGTGATGATCACTAATTGATACTCAATAAAGCAACAGTATTGCTGATCTAAGAACTGGTGTGTGTTGTGTGTGCTTAGACATTCAGTCGTGTCTGACTCTTTGCAATCCGGTGGACTGTAGCCCGCCAGGCTCCTCTGTCCATGGGGATTCTCCAGGCAAGAATACTGAAGTGGGTTGCCATGCCCTCCTCCAGGGCATCTTCCTGACCCGGGGATCGAACCCAGGTTTCCCACATTGCAGTTGGATTCTTTACCATCTGAGCCACCAGGGAAGCCCCGTGAACTGAAGCGAAATAACTTTGCTAATATTGAACAGAAGGGAAGAGTCCCCAAGTCATTTATTTCCTCATTCCTTATTAATGTAACAATATTAAAGAATCTATCTTTTGGTAGAAACAACTTAAAATGGGAATCTTGCATGTTAAAATTTTCCCTTCAAGCAATGCTCTTATCTTTCTTGCAAAAGTGGTGGGGGATGATTTGTCTGTTACAAAGTCGACAGAATATTTGGAATTCCTCCCTGATTTACAGCTCCTGCATTAACCAGGTAGCAGCAGCTTATCTCTTATGTGCAGAGCATGAAAATCTACTGTTCCTCTGCATATTTAATTTAAACCATCAGAAGATGTGATGCAGCCACCGGATTCTTCTTAGTTGGCCCAGATGTCTTTTAGAATGCATCATAAACGCTATGTAAAGTATCATCCTTACACTTGGGAAATATTTACATTTCGAAACTTTGAGGGACACGGGGGCCCATTTATTAAAGTGCACTAAGCAGGAAAAAACACTTATTTTTAGAAGTCTCATGTAATATTTTATTCACCCTCAAATCATACCACTCTGTCCATTTTTTTCTGAAGACTTTATGCATTGAGGTGGTCTTTCTTCTGCCAGCAGGAAAGACAGAGCTTGATTGAGTTTGTCCAAACATAGATGCCATGAGGGCATCTGTCTCTTGTCATTTTCTGGCATGGATACACAGTTCCATTGGCAAGCCACCTTTTCACATGTTATCACTCTTTAGTGCCATTTTTACAATGACAACTACCATATTATCTTATATAGAATTCCTTTTATTCTCCCTCTGGTTTTTACTAATCATTTTAAGGACATTTTCCTGCCTTAAGTCAGTAAATAATTAAAGAAACTACTCCCACTTGATTTGCATTATTAAACACTAAAAGAAATTTTACATACCATGATAAAAAATGATATATCTTGCAACCTATTTTATGCAATAAGAAGTCTGAGGTAGTTTATGTTATAAACATCTTATATATCAGAAAGGAACTGGCTACTCTGCCAGAAATTAGCACTTATCCAGTCAATTTCTATTCATTCAACAGCTACCCATCTTTCAAGGTCAACTCAAATGCCTCCTCCATGAAGTCCTCCTACTCTTTTTTTTAATCTTTATTTTTTAAATCTTTTAATTTAAACATCCTATTTTATATTGGAGTATAGCCAATTAACAATGTTGTGATAATTTCAGGTGAACAATGAAGGATCTCAGCCATACATACACATGTATCCATTCTCCCCTAAACTCCCCTCCCATCCAGGCTGCCACATCACATTGAGCAGAGTTCCCTGTGCTCTACAATAGGTCCTTCTTGGTTATCCATTTTAAATATAGCAGTGTGTACATGTCCATCCCAAACTCCCTAACTATCTCTTCCCCCCCATTCTTCCCCCTAGCAACCATAAATTCATTCTCTGAGTCTCTTTTCTGTTCTGTAAATAAGTTCCTAAAGTCCTACTTTTAATTCTTGAAGTATAATGCTAATATCACTCAGAGCATTTTTCTGAACCACTCTGCCCTGTGGGTTCTTGGTAGATGTTTTGATGCAGGGTGGTGTAGTGAAGTAAATCCTGGTAGATGTGTTAAGGTATCAGAATTCTAGTTTCAGATCTGGTACCATCTATCTGGGTGACTTCTACCAAAGTTTATAACCTCTGTGGAGTCTATTAGAGAAATGCCAGAAGACTGATTAGGAAATTGAGCCTGAGGGAAGTCCTGTAGCACCCAAGGTCACTGAGCTGTAAAATGGAATCTTGTACTCCAAAGCAAGACCTTTTTAACTCTGAAAGCGACACTTTTTCTGTTCATGCTAACTCAAAAACTGGAAGAATTTGGATGAGCATTGTTCTATAACAGTCCAGAGATTAAAACCAAAACCACTAAGTAGAATCTGTTGAATCTGGTAACATGTATTTTTAATTTCCAAGAACAAGATATAGCATGTCGCATTTTTCAGATATATTTGACCATGGGACTGTTCTTTCTTAGAACATCTTCTGAGATGCCCTGTGGGAATGCTGGGTTAAGGCGCTGGATCCCAAAACACAGCCCCCCAAAGGTCACTGTCCTAAATGGTTACAGAAAAACAATAGAAAAAAATTATCATTCTTTAATAAGACCTTTGCATGAACAAGCTTCCTCAATTAACAGATATTTGAAGATATAAAACTCACCAAGTCTGAAGTCATATAGCTGGGTGAGCCTGGACACCAGCAGGGAAGTGCTACCGTGGCTGTGGTGTCCACAGTAGGAAGATGTGTAAGGGTCAGAAAAAGCGTCAGGGGGAGGTCACGGGCAGTTCAGGAAGGGCATGAAAGGACAGCACAAGCTGACAAGTTCCTAACGCAAAGGAGCGTTTCTTGGGGTTTAAACAGTGCTAACTAGCCACTTTACCCAACCTCAGATTTGTGTTTTCATTTCCCTTTGTATTAGTTCTCTTTCATTGCATAACAAATTACCACACATTTATCAGAAAAAAAAAAACCACCCATTTATTGCCCAACATTTTTTTGTAGGGCAGAAGTCTAGGCATGGCCTAACTGGTTTCTCTGATCAGGATCTCACAAGGCTGAGGTCAAGGTGGTAGTGGGAACATATTCTCATCTAGAGCTTAGAGGGTTTTTTCTAAGTTTACTAGGGTTGTTGACAAATTCTGGTCCTTTGGGCTGTAGGACTGAAGTCCCCCTTTTCTTGCTGGCTGTTAGACACGGTTCACTCACAGCTCCTGGGGAACACTCTCAGGTCCTAGCCACATATCCCCAGCCCCAACTCCCAACCATAGGCAGTTCACGGCATGGCTGTTTGCTTTCTTCCAAGCCAGCAGGAGAGATACCTTCCAGATAAGAGCTGTATCTTTTCTCTCTTAAGAGCTACTTGATTAGGTCAGGTCCACCCAGGAAAATCTCTTAATCAATTCACAATCAACTCGTTAGGGACGTTAGTCATATCTGAAGAATTCCCTTTGTCTTGTAATCCATCATAATCATGGGGGTGATTCAAAATTCTTTTCAGGCCTTAAAATTCTGTTAATCCATATAAAACTTTCAGCAACTATTCCAATGTGATGGATAGATGTGTAATGTCACATTGGATATGATGAACTAACTGCCGTGATGCACTGAAATAGCAACTCCTCCTGGGACAGGTCTAAGTCAGAAGCGTGGGCATTCCTGCAAGCGGGAGCTCTGCACCCTGGACCACTCCCCCAGCTAATGCACATCTCATCACTGACTCATGGTTGCCTCCTATTTTACCAAAGCAATTTCGTTCTGAAATAAGACTAAAACATTTACTATAGAATCACACGTTAGGATTGGGAGAAACACAAACTTGAAAATGATCAACATACAATCAGTTCCCCTTTGTAGCTTTCCTGACTTGTGGCTTCCCAGCCAGCTCCTTTGATCAGCCCATTCTTCTCTGATCAGCTCTGACTCTCAGAAGGTCTCCTCACAATGAACTGAAATCTGTCACCGGGTACCTTCTTCCGACTGATTCTAGATTTTTTTTTTTTTTTTACATTGAGAATATTTTTAAAAATCTAATTCTGCTCTCAGCTGAGACCTCCTTGGATATAGGAAGCTGAAGGTTGTGACTCCCCTGAGTGGAAGAGGCTGCTGTAAATCACCAGTCAACGATTTACTAAGCTACTAGAGACGTTATTTACTATGTTGGAAGAGAGAGAGCTTGTCCATATATTTTATAGACTCCATCACAACGGGCAAGCATTTTGTACATGTGTGTTAACACAGCGTTTCTCAAAAAAACAAGAGTGTTGATCAGTAATGCTGCTACTTAGCTCTGACCCTGTTTTCTTTGTTTTGTTTAATAGAGTGAAAGAGAGACCATCACTTTCTTTGCACAAGAGGACAGCACTTTTCCTGCACAGACTGGCCCCAAAGCCTTCAAAATTCCCTACTCCATCAGACAGAGGATTTGTGCTACATTTGACACCCCCAATGCTAAAGGCAAGGACTGGCAGATGTTAGCACAGAAAAACAGCATCAACAGGTAATTGGGGGACGTGCTAAAAGAGGATTCTACTAAATGAGCTTGAAAAATAGACTGGGTTGGGTATATCCATGTAGTTTCCAGGCCCTGATATGTGTATGGATTCCTCTGGCCATATTTCATGTGATGTCTGACCAAGGAAGTGGGAGAAGAGCAAAAATATGACAAGTATCTGTGACCTTTCCTGCCACCACACTCCACCTTTGGGGATATCATGGGAAAGTCTTACTTTTGTTCTGATCCCATCTACAAGTTCGCTAACTGGGCGGCCGTAGTGGGGGTTTAGACTGTGTCATCTTGGTACTGCTGAGGGATCCCAGAGTCTTGAAAAGAAGCAGAGAAGCAGGTTTCTCACACGTCCTCTCCTCGCTAGGGTAACCTTAAGCATTATTTAACTCCTAATAAGGATATCTCAGGCTTCCCTGGAGGCTCAGTGGTAAAGAATCTGCCTGCCAATGCAGGAGACCTGAGTTCAATCCCTGGGGTCAGGAAGATCCCCTGGAGAAGGAAATGGCAATCCACTCCAGTATTCTTGTCTGGGAAATCCCATGGACAGAGGAGCCTGGCAGGCTGTGTCCATGGGTTGCAAAAGAGCCAGGCATGACTTAGCAACTAAGCAATAACAAAGGATATGCTCAGCCTGAAGAACTGGGTGCCCGAATATAAAAAAGGATGTTTGAGATGATACTTCCCAGGTCTGAAGGCAGAGGGCTTTAAAGCAAGCAAAAGATTACGTAAGCCCCACCTGTGAGTCTGCTACTTAAACCAACCATTAATCGTCACTGTGCTAATGTTGTGGTTGAGTTGAAAGTAGACTACAGAGATTCATTAATGGACTGTCTTACTTGATGAGAAAAAGCAGGGGTGAGTCTATTCAGAGCAACACTGATGAGGCGGCGGCTTTGGGCTCAGCTTGAGGAATGGTAGGGAAAAGGCATTGACGAGTTGCATATCCTGTCTCGCAGGCCCCAGGATGAAAAGAACAAGTTTTGCCAGCGCCATTTGTTTTCCCATTCCTTTGTTTCCCGCCCCTCACCAACTTTGGAGACAAAGCCTTATTTTTCTCACTGTTTGGCTTACGCTGTCATTTCCATTTTTTGTTCTTTGTTTTTTACAGACATCTCACCTGCCTCTCTCTTCTCTGAAAGGCAGGTAGATGTCTGCCAAGAAGGGATAGAGGGCCATTCCCTGTTTCAAAGGGATCCAGAATCCAAGAATGAAGGGGCCAAGTAGAGAGCAGTCAGAGAGGAAAGTCAAGAGAAAATGGAATTGACAGAGACAGGCCCGAAAAGAGCACATTCTTGAAAAGGCAGATATTGAAAATGAGAGAATACAAAAATGTATGCATGTACAGGAGAAAAAAAATTAGGTTGAATTTTTCCCAGAAACTTTGATAAAGGATGAGATGTGTCATGTATAACTCATGAACACCATGACTATGACAGTTTCACTTTCTGATCAACATGGGGACAAAAATGAAAAACTTACCCAGAGAATAGAATGTGGTCTAAAAAAAGCAAAAGGAACTTTGGGCAGGAACTCAAAAGTTCTATATAGCAATCCTAGTTCTACAGCTAATACAAGTCTGCCCCCACACATCACTGACCACCCCTATAATACTTTTTCTACAGATGCAATTCATAGAATTCAAACTATATTAACTCTCTAACCCATTCTGGCAATAAGAGTTTATGATTTTTAATTCACCATTTACAAGAAAATAATTGCCACAAAATATCTACATGCCCATGGATGCTATCATTAATTTGCTAAATGAGCGCATGCATGTCCCTGCCTTGTTCATTTTTTTCTCCACTTCAGAGTAAACACATGAGAACTACAAGGACTGCCTCCAGAGTCATCAGTTTCTGACCTTGTACAGCAGGGAAAATGCATCTTAAACTGGGAGACTAAAGTGGACATCCTTTTGTGTCTGGGCTATAATGAGCAGTAAACAGCTACACGGGCACGCTGCCCCCTCCACTGTCAGGGTCAAAACACAAGAACATTTGATGTGACAGTTTGTTTTTGTTTGCTTCTGTTTCTCCTTGAAACCCCTTCTCTAGGAAAGCCTAAATATCCTTAACATCCAAAATTCAAGCAACCTACTCCATGGAAATTCTCTAACATAGTTTCAAGAAAACCTCCATTTTCAGTCAATTTTAGTAAGTAAGTGTTAGTCATTCAGTCATGTCCAACTCTTTGCAACCCCACAGACCATATAACACACCAGGCTCTTGTCTCCATGGAATTCTCTAGGCAAGAATACTGGAGTGGGTTGACATTTCCTTCTCCAGGGGATCTTCCCTACCCAGGGATCAAAACCAGGTCTCCTGCATTGCAGGTGGATTCTTTACCACCATTTGAGTCTCCAGGGAAGCCTGAATATATATATATGTACGTGTGTGTGTGTATATATGTGTGTGTGAATATATGTGTATGTGTGTATATACACACATGTGCACACATGTATACACACACACACACATATATATATCTTCTCCAGCATGGGAAGAAACATGTGACAGAGGTGAAGGATATTTTCAAATGTCATTTTTTTTTTTTTACAACTTCTTATTGCATAATCTGAAATCGCTGATCTTGTTCTCTTAGGGTTACAAATAATACAGTCCTTATTGCATTACATAATCATCAGTTGCTAGTGTGATCTTAATGTGTGTTAAAACACAGAAATCTGACATTGTTGACATGCCAATATTATTGGGTAAGAAAGCTGTTCCATAGCTTGAGATTTCATCAGCCCTGGTATCACAAAAGATGATCACAGAGTCACTCTTCTATTAGGGAATTCGCCTACCTCTATCTTGTGACAGCATCTTGACCTGACTCTCCCCTTCCTTTCAATTTCCAAAAGTGAAAAGCTAGTAAAGCAACAGCCCTCAAACCATAAAGGAAGCATTTCAAACAGAGTGGAGAGAAACAGTGGCTGTTATCATGTTGCCAGTGAAAACATTCTCCTTTTGGTAAATGCAAATGTCACTGATGATAATTTGCCTTTTTGTCAAACAAGTGTCTACTTAGATCTGAATAGGAAAGAAGGTACATGAACTAGTAAGTTAAAGGCTTAGACTGTGAGACATGTCGGTGGGGGTGGGGAGGGGCGTGCTGAAAGACAGCAACACAGGTGGCCTTGCAACTTGCCTGGCATATAGATCACGATAAATAAGCCACACAGCCTAGCAAAGAATGTTATAGTTAACAGCTGCCATTACAGATTCTGTGAGCAAACTATTGCTCAGAGTCCATACTTACTGCATTTTCAGAGCTGAGGTTGCACTTTTATTCCACAAATCCAGCTACAGTAATTCCCCACTTAAGTGCTCTTGGCCACAGCTGATTGATAGGTGGGTGGGATTAATAAAGAATTGATCACATAGGAGTAGAGGGTAGGGACCTTTGCTGAGAACTCAACAAATTAAGTAATATCAGAAACTAACTGCTTCAGCTAGAAAGACTCACCCATATTTAAATTTTTAGCATTTTGTATTTTTATGACATAGTTAGATATGATATGATACAGTTAGACATTTTTATGATACAGTTAGATATACCTAGATAGTACTATCTACTTCTGCGAAAATCAAGAAATTTGCCCTGAATGAATGACACGAACTTTTTCTTTGGATAGTATCTTGTACTGTGCTTAGTCATTCAGTCATGTCCGACTCTGCAACCCCATGGACTGTAGCCCACCAGGCTCCTCTATCCATGAGGGTTCTCCAGGCAAGAATACTGGAGTGGGTTGGCATGCCTTTCTCCAGATTTTCCCAACCCAGGAATTGAACCAGGGTCTCCTGCATTGCAGGCGGGTTCTTTACCAGCTGAGCTACCAGGGAAAGCCCTTGGATAGTATACTTGACCTTAAAATCTTGCCTAATAGAATTGATATGAATAAGCATCAAAGGATTTTGAAAGTTGGTCTCAAAAGAGAATTTGGGTGATATTATGAAAGATTCCTGTCTTTCGGCTCAGTACCTGAAATTCTGCTATTAGGTTATTCTTCTTTAAGACTTCATGATGATCATATTCCAGAAACCCTTGTGAAAACACAGCAGTTTGACCAAGTTGCTATGGGAACAGATGCTGGATAAAGTGCATGAGATACAAAGGGTGAGGAGAAGGGAAGTGGCCAGAATGGAAGAAAGGATTCCAAGATGAAATGGAGCAGATAAACTACACTTTATTAATAGTTTCTCATAATAGCATATTTCTTTGAAGTACTGCTGGAGAAAACGTATTGCTCATCGGTCAGCCGCGTGTTCAATTGTACTTTGGATGTTAATGTTTTTGGATGATGGTGTAGAAACTGCGAGCAAATGACATTTCTCAAGCCTCATGGCTGATCAGTGGTGCTATGATAACTTGTTTTTTCCACCAGATCTTTTAACAGGACCTCTAATGAGAAGCAGAATCTTCTCATGTTGAGGTCACATCCTTTTATTCCCTCTGCCCACCCTGTTAATTGGATGCACAGGAGCAGTGAAATGGCCAGAGGGCAGTGGGGAAGGACAGAGGAATGTCACAAGACAGCTTATTAATCTACCTCTGAATAACTTGAGAAGTCACTAAAAGTGGAACAGGCCCAGTGCCAGCTTTCTTTTTGGGGGTAAAGAAAGGAGGAGGAGAAAAGAGAAAGTGATTACAAAATATATACAGAATGTCTGCCTCACAGCAGACCACCAAGTACGGTCACTCAAGGACCCGTGAGACTATTTTCACTCTTGTGTTGGGGGATTTGCTAGGATTCCACCAAATGAAACTGTCTGGGCTTTGCAGACTAGCGGTTAGAAAACACATCCTTAACCTTTAAATCATAAAGACAGTGTGATGCTGCTATTTCCAAAAAAAAAAAAAAGCAATCCTCATGACTCTAAGGAGAATTAATACATGGGGAGATAGCATTCATGACACAGGTCCTTGGAGGCAAAATATGATAAACCTCAAATCACATTTTCTGGTTCTGGCCCAATAGACTTTTG